GAGAAGGAAGGTAAGGCTGGAGTGGGTGGGGGGGGGGGGGGGGGCGTCCAGTCAGCGGTTCTTAGATACCTGCCAACCAGAGCATCCCGCTCAGCTCCTGGCAACCGGTGACACCACTGAGCTCAACAGGAAGCTGGACACAGCATCTTAGCAACCTAGGACACTATGGCCGCCCCCCTGCTGCCCACATATGAGACACCACCTGAGTCAACTGCCTCCTCCTGCCTCAATATAGATGCAGGACTGGTTAACATTCTGCTTAATAGTAGATAGTAGTTTGTAACATTGAACTTGTATGTAATGTTGACAATGTTTCTCTTCCTATCCAAGCTGAGGAAGCTGTTTAGATAAACATATTCAACATTGCAGAACCAGTCCAGGTGAATGTAACCTCCTACCATCACCTATACCACGACCTGGATCAATGAAAACCCTTCACAGACTGACATTGCAACAACTCAGAGATGACCAATCGCGTTGTGATTTCATTCAAAGATGATTTTTTATTAACCAACAAATTCGTATGTACATCTTATGGCTTTCAGGTTACGGTGACCTCTTTACATGATCTTTGGATAGGTATGCAATGCGCTTTTCGTACAAATACAGACAAGAATGTGATCATTTGTGCAAAACAAAGAATTCTCTTAGTAAAAGTGCTACTGTTTCCCAATTAAGGTCACTTTTAAAGAAGAAGTACAACGACGTGCGTTTCTCTTTGACAGTTCATCACTTTCAAGTGGTACATTCCAGGACACTATGAGAGAGAGGTATGAACATTCCCTGCTAATAAAATAAATAAACACATGTACATTCATTGCACGCTGGACATATTGCATGAATTTGGGTCTCAGTAAACGCGTCCACCGAATGCATGGAGACTTGAGTGGACGATGCACCGTGGAGCTGGAGGTGGAGAGTTGTGAAGATTTTTGGGAAGGTGATTGCTTTGTGAGTGAAACGTCCGCCTGACGCATCTGTTTTGTCAGAGTTCTCTAGCGGGTTATGCCTTAGTAATAGTCCAGGCTCGCTGATGTAAGACCTCTTCCAGCATTGGCTGTCTTTCCAGTTGGCTGCGACCATTCCTTTTGATCTGAAACGGTGGCCCGACGTTTGGGGCGAGGGCGTGGCCATTTGGTTACCAGGCGAATGAAGCTCAGCTGTTACTGCTTTGTACCTGAAAACAAAAAGTAAGGACAGGTTAGTATACAAATAATATTGAACACATTTGCTACTTCATACCACCTGCTAGAGGTAGTTTGGAGTGCACTGGCCATATTTTAAGTACGTGCGCTCGGGAGATCTTGAACTATTGGCCACTAGTTATATTTTAAAGATATGAATCTATTATGTTGTGTTGTCAGTAGTCCTTCAAAGATACTTACTTTTGTTTAGCTCGCTGGACGGGCATCCATCGTCAGTCCTTTGGACCTTTGGTTAAGAGCACGATGGTCATGTCTTGACTGCTCGTCAATTCGGTAGAGGTCTCGAGAAGGAGCCATTGTCAACGGCTTGCGATTTTTAGACCGGAAGGATAAGGTTTTCATGTCCTTTCACCTTTGTATCACGTCCAAGTCCAAGAATTGCTGGATTTATCAGATATTCCTGAGAGTTATTGACTGCAGGAGTCCTGTAGGGGGCCTTACATTCCAAGCTGCCCCCTTTTATACCACAGGGCGACCAAAGAGGCCAGTAGTTGACATAGCCCAAAACATTAAGTCCTGGTCGTGCAGTCTGTTTTGTAGTTGCAGAATAAAGTTCGCTGCTGGGTGAAACATCTTTTGATACCTCACAGAAAGCTGTGGCCTCCAAGCAAGGAGGATCATTGCGGAAAAGTCGAAACTGTCCATAGAGTATTAACGCTCGAACAAATTTCCAAGAGTCCAAGTCCATTTAGGATGTTGCATAAAGTCCCATTCCCATGCCTAGTATCTATTTCTATCTGATAACTAGGCAAGTAAAAGTGCTACTATGTAAACCCCCAAAAAAAAACCCAAAACATTCATTTTATAATTAAGACCACAATAAAAGTTAAAAAAAATATATTCCTAGAGTTACATGTTACAATATTCAAAAAGTTAACACATCGGCCCATCACGATATATGAAATGTTAGAGACTGGTTATTGCCCGATTATTACAATCGAATCATTTCAAGAATTGGTTTTTTTATATTCTATTCTATATCTATGTACATCATATTGCACTCTACACGGTATATGTCACGGGTGATATTTCTGTACACTAAACACATGGAAAAATATCAAAAATATTTCAGTTTTGCATTTTAAAACATTCAGCAGTAAAAAAAAAAAGAAAAAAATGCTCTTAAAACCGAACAAATGGTTAACTTTCTCACGGATGCCATTTGGTCCCCTGAAATTTGCAGGGAAAAGGCAGAACATTGTGAAAACAGCCCCCACTTATAGTAAATGGTTTGGCCTGACGACGGCCGTCCATGGACCGCTTCAGACTGTGGCACCAGATTCTGGTGACAGTTCTCCAAACTTACCCCAAGTTCCATTTACTCTAAGTGGCCTCTAGTACAGCAATAACTGCTTTACTGCCTGGCTACCTGCAGGGCAATATGTCCCAATTGCGTGATAACGTCTAAGCATCCTATATCTCGTGTACGGAGCTGGTTATAGCGTGATGTAGAAAGAAATTAGAAATTTACATCTCAAGTTCTTTTTTGTTGTTGTTCAGCTGTCATCAAAGCTTTACCCCTCCCCCGTATAGGTTTGACATACATCTGACTCTCTGTAATATATGAGATAAGCTTGAAATAGTCACAGCTAACTTTGCCTTCCTATACTGGACACTATAGCCGTCGTGTTGTTACCTGTTGCATTGCACAGGAAAACGACCTCAAACCAAAAGCCAAGAAAGTTTACCTTTAAAAGTTCTCTAGCAAACTTCACTCTATCATTTCAAGAGCTGATGTTTCTCAGCAGAGAGCAACAAAACTTAATCCAAAAAGTTGCCGTTAAACTTTCCTACTCGTAGCTAGCTTTTTCTGTGCAGACGCCATTGCTATCATAGGGATCCTTTGTCACCATGACATTAAGTTTGGTGCTAATCTGCTCTTCGGAATAGGCGGCCTTCAGGGTTTGCTTCTCGGACTGCTCAAAGTCCAATTGGATTTCCTTTCCCATCTGCACTAGCTGGTCCATGGTCTTGGGGAAGGGGGGCTTGAGGAAACGCCTGATCTCTGGGTGAAGGGTGCTAATAATGTAACGGATCATGTCTTCCTCGTTGGCATCGACGTAGAGCCGGTGGTACAGGGCTCTCTTCTTCCACACAAACTGCTCTAGGGGCTCCCAGCGCCTCTGTGGAAGGTCTAGGTCCCTCTTGATGGCCTCTCTTACTACTAAACGCTCGCAGTATTGCAAGAAGGACACTTTGAAGTCATGCCAGCTGTCTATTGTCTCATGCCTGTACTCCCACCACTTCTTGGCCGCACCTTTTAAGTGGTTGTCTACCTGGGAGAGCCAAATTTTTTCATGCCACCCGCTGCGCTTAAAATACTTTTCTAAGTTGACTAGGAAATCCCGAGGATCCTCAGACATGTTGGCATCAAACTCAGGGGGGGAGAGGATGTCAACGGAAAGGACCACCCATTGGTGCTGCTGGCATGATTGGGATGGCAGTGCGGGAGCTGGGGGAGGGGGAGAGCATGGTGGGGCATAAGGATTAGGGTTATCAAGAACTTCCTGAGCTATTTGAGCTGCCTCTGCCTCCTTTTCCTTCTCACTTTTCTCTGCGTAAAAGGACCTTCTGCGTGGCTCTTCCTTGCCTGCCATCTTCTCAAATCGGGAAAACACCCCCCTCCAAGAGTTCATCTCTCTCTTCACCCACCTCTCCAAGTTGACCAAGGTACCCTGGCACCTCATAAGGCAAGCCTTGATCGATCGCTTCCACCTCTGGATTCCCACCAATGGGGACTGATCGCTCATGTTAGCATTTAGCCTCTGCACAGACCTCTTGAACCCTTTCAGCTCGCTCTCCACCTGCCTGGAGACCCCGGACAGAATGTACACCTGCGTCTTCCTAACCCTGTCCAACATTTCAGCTGGGCTGCATGTGCCGATCTGGAGTGCAACCGTTTGTTCGGGAAGAGTGAGAGCGGGAGCTCCGACGCCACTGAGAGCCAGGGTCGCTGCCATTGTAACAAGCTGTTGTCTGCAAATTTAGCTTTGTTTATCTTTTTTTTTTTTAAAGTTTGCAAACTTTTTTTTTTTAGGCAGCAAACTTTAAAAAAAGCAAAATTGCTCGCAATTGTCAGGCAGCCAGGCTCTTGCAACCCACCTCCCGCTGTTAAGCTAAGAGCATTTTCTCAAATCAGTCATAAAAATCCTTAACAATCCCTTCCAGCTGGTAACATTCAGCAAAACAATAGCAGAAAATCAGCAGTATAGGAAAAATCACGGCTGTCTCGGGATTCAGCAAGCAAAAGAGGAACGGAAAGGCTGCCGTTCTGATATCACCCAAAGTCCAGTCTTTTTTTTTTCAGAACTTCCGAAGCGATTTTTTTCTGCAATCAGAAGCAATGTGAGCGTGTCCCGAAAATCTCGGGGGAATGGCGGGTTCGGAGAAAAAAAAGAAAAGCCTTTGTCCGAGGGCTGGAGAAGTTCCCTTCTTGGAGTCGCAGAGAAGCAAATAAAGGAAAGATGGAATCCGAAGATATCGAAGCCAGCAAGGGTGAAAAGCCGCCGGAGAAAAGTACTTTCTCGCTGTTGGCGTTTTGAGTTTGTGGGAATAGTTTGCCAGTGCGGGTATTTATACTCTATCTAGCAGAGCTGGTCTTGTGAGTTATCAGCAAACCCCATACTACGCACGAGGCGCCGATTGGTTGGATCCTCCATCTCCTTGGAAACAGATGGCACTTCAGTTCCCCCCCCTTCCTTGTGATTCAGCGAACACACGTTGGAAGCTGTGATCAATCCGGCTATGGAGAAATGTGTAATTCCCTCTATGTGAGAAAAAAAAGAGGGGAGAATACGTAATTCAGCGAGAAGCAGGAGACACATCTCCCACGGATTGTAGCGTCTTCCCTGCCTAAACCTGCCATAAAAGGTCTCATCTCATGTCTTGGTGATTGAAAGATCCCCCTTCCGCCTTCTTTCCGCACACCTACGTGAAATAACCGCACCGTCTTTGTCATTTTGAAGTGTGGGAAGGTCATGCCAGCCAATGAAGCCGTGATGGCAGCATCATTTAATCACATTAGGGTGGCCGGGTCATAATAGACTGGGGGGGGGAGAAATTTGGTGCCTTCATTAAAGTAGATTGATCTCATAAATACGAGTGTGCCATTTACCCCCCCCCTTCTCGTTGTTGTGTTGTTAGCAGCAGGACATATGCCATGCGCCTACAGCGGGGAAGGGGACCCCCTTGCAGAACCTTTGAATGGAGCGAGTATGTCAAAGCTTGCTGGCAGGCCGTGTTTAGTTCCCACACAATTAGAGCTGCATTCATTGACAAGGCCAACGGAGAAGCTTCCGAAAGACTTTATTCATTAAGGTTCAGTCGCAAACGAGCTGCAAATCTATTCAGGGGATGGCCGGGGGCCGTATTTACTTTCTCTGCTGCCCCAAGGCCAGGTTCCTTAATGTGCCCCCCCCTACCCGCCAACTCCCCCCCCCCATTAAGAATGGCAGACCTGCAGGCTGCATACAATGTCGCCGGGATCACTTGTACAAAACAGGCGGCGGCTTCCCCCTCTGTACATTTAGCTCTGCTTGCCCAAAGCCGGGCTAAATGTAGAAAACAACTACCCGCCGGGCGCCCGGAACTGCATGTCCCGGGCATCGGGAGATAGGAATTCCACACCCCTGCTGCCCCAAAGCCAGGCCTTGGTTGGCCTTGTGGTAAATCCGGCCCTGGGTATGGCTCTGTCTAAGGGGTTTAATAAACATTTTACAATGTTGTCATAGAAAACATTTATTAAAGTTACTATTACAGTAAATATGTTCTTGCTAGAACACTCCCCCACCCCCATGCACTGGTTCTCCCCTATGCCAGCACTGTGCACCTGCCGGAGCCTTGATTGGTCAATGTCAGAGCTTACAGGGGGTTGGTGGGGCTTACTTCTAATGCAGAGGGCAGAGCCAGGAGCGTCTCTAGACGTCTCATTGCCTAAAGCAGGGGGGTGGTTGGGGGGTGCTTGTGATCCAGGTTGGGGGGGATGGTTTAGTTGCTCTGGTGGTTTGTGGTGCATGGTGTCACACCCAGCTCACTGACGTCATTGTTTGCCAGGTGGTGGGAGGGGTGGCAGCTAGTGCTGTGCCAGCCAGTGATGTCAGTGAGCTGGGCAGGACGCCGGCCAGAGCACCATAGGTTGCTATGAGTTCCTACCAACCTGGGGCGCACTGACCAGAAAGGGGGCGGCAGGCACATGACCCAATGAGATGCCGCCTGAGGTTGCTTTATTATAAGGATGGCCCAGGGCAGAGCAATGGTGAGTGTCAGCAGGAGGAGGGGTAGATATTATGAAAACCCGTCACTTTGATTGACAGTGATGTGAAGCTGATCGGTGATGTCCAGCAAGTGCTGCAGCTGTGCTTGTCAGAAAGTTCCCCCCAGTATAGCTTAAAACTCATCTTTAGACAAATCTGCGCTCCACCCAAACCATGGCACCCATTTCTATATTCGGAGTCCCCTAACAAGGTTTTCATCTCAGCTCGGTCCGCCCCCATGTGACCTGTCCTGGAGCTAAGCACCGTGATGTGACCTCACCACACCGCCACTGCTGTCCCCGGGACTCTGATCCTCTGGCTTCATGGTTCGGGTCACTGACCCAGAACAGGAACATAAATTAGTTTTTCTTGACTTTCCTTATTAGCATGCTTGTTCGGGGGTCAGTGAGTTAGCAGGGGGGTCAGCGTATAGGATGTTGCTCCTGCTGGGCGGGTACATCCCATTCAAGTCTATGGAATGGTGAAGTTTTTATTGTGGTCTGTGTCTCCATTCGGGAGATTTCCTATCACTTCCTGTCACAACAGCAGGTGAAGGATAGTCTTGCCAATAGGGAACACAGACCACAATAAAAACTTCACCATTCCATAGAGTTTCATGTGATTCTCCCCCCATGAGATCGCAGGCACAGGCCCATGGTGATTCTCCAGCCCATGGCAGGCACAGACAGCCTGCCATGGGATATAGACATCCCTCCTGGGACCCAGACTACGTGGACTGTGTGGCAACTTGCTGACCCAACAAGATCCAAAAGGGAGAAGATAGAAAGAAAGAGAGAGAGAGCGGAAGAGGACAGAGAGAGGGAGAGAGAGACGGGAGAGAGTGGACAGTGTGGCAACTTGCTGGCTCAACTAGATCCGCAAGTAGTGTCAAAAGCATCAGGGTGAGAGACAGGGGTGAGAAAAATGGAAGAAAAGGGGAGAGAGAAAGAAGAGAGGAGAGAGGGGGGGAGGGAGAGAAGAGAGGGAGGGTTAATAGAGAGTGAGGAGTGGAATGCAGACACAACGTCTGATCTTTGCTGGGTTCAGTAACATGCGTTTATCATCTTATGATTGTATTACACTGATTGGTCGCTGATCTTTCCTCCTCGAAGACATTTTGTTCCTCCCCTCCCCCCCAGCGATCTGCATCTCTCAGCCCGGCACTCTTCCACTCCGGCTCGCCGCGGCTTTTTGGCCTTATTTAGTCAGCGCCGCTCTACGCCTACTCACTGACTAATTTACCGCGTGACTCATGCGTTTTCACAGGCATGGCTTCGAGTCCCACCAGGCAGCACTTCCAAGCTCCGCATGCTATGTGAGGGGGATTGTGTGATTTTTTTTTTTTTTCGTTGCAGCAGAAGTGACAAATTGCGGCGCGCACCTTCCAGTTTTGTGTGTTGGAGGGGATGCCAATTAAACATCTCAGGCACATAATGGGTGGGAAGGTTGATGAGCGGGATTACCCCGGCGCTCCGATTCCTTCACATGACAGAGACGAGGAACCCTGCCTCACATCTGTTCCCATTGTGCGGAGGCGCAGCGAGCGGCCCGAACGCGAATCCATTAACCGCCGCGCCGCCATTTCATTTTAATTGCAAATTGTCTTTCAAAAGTTGCACCGCCGACGCGTGCGGCCCTGACTGCCGGCGTTCACCAAGGAGATGATTGCAGGTGAACGCTCCTCTCGCGTATCATTTTGCACTTCCTCTTTGAATTGCTTTCCTGTCTTTTATCGGTGGAGCGGTCATGGAGGAACGCACATTTCGCCGCCATAAGTGCGCAGCAACAACGCCCGCGCCGCAGGACTGTCGGAGTACATCTACTTTTAGGCGTTTTTATAGCCAAAACTGTATATTGACACCGTGAGCTTCTCACAGTGTGCATTAGGAGCAGCAGCAAGTCAGATAGAGCTCCGCTTCATTTCCTGGCTGGAGGACGTCCAGCATCATCTAGCGCTGTCCTCCCCAGCCTGACCCCGCCCCCTTTCATTCATTGAAATACAGTTCTTTCAATCATGGAGGTTCAGCGTTACATATGGGTGTTATCTAGGGCTAGCCTGCTTACACCCATTCCTCCAGAGTGACACCCACCTATCAAGGCTTTTTTTTCAATTTGCATAACTCCTCCCACTGCTTGCATCAGAGCTGAGGGCTCTTGAGAGGAGTACTGAGGCAAGGTACTGTGATGTTTTCAGGAATCTACATACAGCATCCTGCCAGCCCCTCCCACCAGCATAGAGACCCAGACCCGGACCTTTATAGGTCTGTTACCCTTCTACCCAAAGGATACAGGGAAGGAGGGTCAGTGTTGGGGATACAGGGAGGGTTAGTGTTGGGGTTACAGGGAGGGTCAGTGTTGGGGTTACAGGGAGGGTCAGTGTTGGGGTTACAGGGAGGGTCAGTGTTGGGGTTACAGGGAGGGTCAGTGTTGGGGTTACAGGGAGGGTTAGTGTTAGGGTTACAGGGAGGGTTAGTGTTGGGGTTATAGGCAGACATTGAAATGTGATGAGAAATGTCTGTGTAGCAGCCCGGTGCCGGCGCGGTGTAATCGGCACGCCGGTGTGTGACTCTTTCTAAGAATTTATTATGTAAACATTGCCATGGAGGTTACAATCGGAAACCAAGGGACCCTCACAGCTTGATCCCGGCTCAGCACACAGGACATAAAAGGCGAGGAGGGGAGGAGAGGCGCTGCCGTGCGCGGAGCCGGAAAGAAGGCCTTATATGGCGCGGAACTTCCGGCTCGGAGCAGGGAAGGACAGCGAGCTGGGAAAATAGGTTTTCAAGAGTCATCATGTTGTTTGATATGCTGATTGGCAGCAGAGAGTGAGAAGGGGGGAGGGGAGGGGAAGGGGGCAGGAAGTCACATCTGCCCTGATTAATAACGGCGTCTGCGTGCAATCTGAACCTGTTACCGATCATTCAGATTTTAGCACCTGGGTGACAAATGTC